AGTAGTAGCTACCAAGTCCTCCTTGGAGGTGCTGAGTGCTGAGTCCCTGGGAGGTGCTGACTGCTGAGTCCCAGATACCAACTGCACCCTGATTCTCAGGGCCTGCCCACACATGTTCTTTCTCCCAGGAATTCTGCTCCCATTTTCTCACCTTCTGCCAACCTCTTACCCTACAATGCCAAGCTCCATGCCTCCTCACCTGCCAAGTAGGCCCCTGCCCCTGCATCCACGAACGCCATGCACTGCCTGGGAGGGCTGCATGCAGGTCACTCCGTCAGTGTCTGGGGGTGGACGGGCACATGGATGGGTGAACTGACAGATGACAGACTGGGCAGCTGGGTGGGCGGACGACTGGCTTCAGGGCCTCCAAGGGAAGGTTTGCTCAGAGGATGCGTAGGCTGGGCAGAGGCTGGGCACTGTGGCTCACAAGGTGGGCCTCTGTGTGCTTGCGACTGCGGTGGGCGCAGGAGGGGACCCTCCGGGGATGAGGAAACTGAAGTTCTCAAGGGCCAGATTCCCAGAGGGCTCAGGGTGCTGGCCAAGAGGCCTGACGTGACCTCAGGAGGAGATGAGGCCCAAACACCTTCCCATGCACACCTGGGGGGACATGTGTCACGGGACCCCTGGCCAGGCCTCTCAAGAGCAGGGTGGGGTCATATCTACACAGCCGTCTCCTCTGCCTGCACCCAACCTGGAAGCTGGACTGGGAAGAGGAAGGATGGGCAGGACCCCCAGCTCCGTCCTCACACTCCAGCCCTTGGAAGGGTCTCCTGTGGGCTACAGTATCTCTAGAAGCTTCCTCATTGGGAGCCGGGGGCTTGCCCACTGGATGCTGGCCTATGCCCACAATGGGGATGCCAGGGGCCCCCCACCAACTCCTTGGGGCCCTGGATTACTGGGTGTGTTGCCTGCGAGGGCTGTGGTGCAGGAAGGACGGGGAGGACAGTGTGTGGTTCTGTCCACCTTCTTCCTGTGTCTGCACACCGCTCAGGTGACTCTGGGGGCTGGGGTGAGGGCACCCTGTTGCACAGATGAGGAAACTGAGGCCTGGGGCGTCTCAGTTGTGTCAGAGCCACGGCCTGGCCGGCTGTCCACCCGGAGCTGGCCTCCCTCTCTGGGTTTGCAGACGGCAAGGCTGGCTGAAGCTTCAGAGGTCCCAAGACTGAGTGTGTAGGGCCAGCCCCAGTCCCTGCCTTGGGAGCTGGGAGCCTTTGGGCCCACACACAGCTTTCTGGAGGTGCAGCCCATGGACTGGGGACATGGGGGTCCCAGACGTCTCACTGTGGATAACCTCTCACTGTGGATAAACCGAACAGTCTGCTTGGGTGGAAGCAGAGGTGACTTCAGGTGGTCCAGCCCCCACCTGTGAAGACCCCGAGGGCGGTGTGGAGAAGCCAGGCCCCCGTGGCTCCATAAACACAGGCCCTGGAGATGGAAGGACAGATGGACGGCCCAGTCCTGGAGGCTTGTGGCTGCGGCCCCGGGGATGGGCCGGTGGGTGTGGCTCCGTAAACACTGGCCCTGGAGATGGATGGACAGATGGACGGCAGGTCCTGGAGGCCGGTGGGCCCAGAGTTCCGCAGCAGAGTCTCAGAGCCTGAGGCCTGTCTGGCTGTGTGTGCTGGGGGGCTCCACCCGTCTGGCTGTGTGTGCTGGGGGGCTCCACCTGTCTGGCTGTGTGTGCTGGGGGGCTCCACCCGTCTGGCTGTGTGTGCTGGGGGGCTCCACCTGTCTGGCTGTGTGTGCTGGGGGGCTCCACCCGTCTGGCTGTGTGTGCTCGGGGGCTCCACCTGTCTGGCTGTGTGTGCTGGGGGCTCCACCGTCTGGCTTTGGGGGGGCTCCACCTGCCAGCCCTAGTGCTTCTGCCTGGTCTAAGGGAGCAGCTAAGGGCAGCAGGGGCTGGCACGCCCCAGGTGTGCGTGTAGCTCTGCCCCGGGTGGAGGCCTCCCTGTCAGCCCACATCAGTGATGAGGGCTCCACACCCCACTCCCCGGGTAGGCTGATTCGGCTGTTTCGAGTGTGGGGTCATCACCCCAGGGCTGCACGATGTCTTTGGTGGGGAAGAGGTTCTCTGTGCCTCATTCTGGGGTGAAGGATGACTTCCCACCCTGACCTTGAGAGTGATCCCAAGGACAGTCCCTTCTCCCAGGCTTCTCTGAAAGTCCCGCCTGGTCTGGGTCCCTGCCTCGTCCCTTCCTTCTCAGGGGTCTGGGCTCATCCTGCCTGCTTCAGCTTTGGGCCCAGGCTGATGGGAGGGGGTCTCTAATTTCAGCGTCTGGCCAGAGGAGCTGGGGTTCTGGGCAGAGGAGGACCCTCATCCTGGGTCTGAAGCCAGGCATGTGAGGGGCCATTCCCCCACAAACCCCACTGACACACTTCCCGGGCTCCTATGGAGGCAAACCACAGAGCCAGAGTGGTGACGCCCACGTCCCCCGGGGCCACCAGTCCCCTCGGGCGAGGCTGCCCTCTGCACTGAGACAGAGGTGCCTCTCCCACCTGGGCAGGTGCCACGCCCTTCCCTGCATATCTGTCTGAGGATGGAGGTTTCTCCTCTGACCCAGGACGGGGGAGAAGTTTCAGTGTGGCATGCCACACCTGAGTGCAGGTATCTGTCCGTGGGCTGTTGGAAGGCCAGACAGGAGTCAGAGGAAGGGCTGATTGAGGCAGGAAGAACTGCTGGTCTAGGACGGGGCAGAAGGACCAGGTGAGCCCCGTGGGCCAACTAGGGCAAGAACCTCCCCACCCAGGGAGGCTGCAGTGTGGCGCTGGGCGCTGAGATGGTGTCTGCGCAGCCCATCTCCCCGTGACCGGGGTGTCGGAGGCCTCAGAGCCCCAGGGAGGCTGCAGTGTGGCGCTGGGCACTGAGATGGTGTCTGCGCAGCCCATCTCCCCGTGACCGGGGGTGTCGGAGGCCTCAGAGCCCCAGGGAGGCTGCAGTGTGGCGCTGGGCGCTGAGATGGTGTCTGCGCAGCCCATCTCCCCGTGACCGGGGTGTCGGAGGCCTCAGAGCCCCAGGGAGGCTGCAGTGTGGCGCTGGGCACTGAGATGGTGTCTGCGCAGCCCATCTCCCCGTGACCGGGGGTGTCGGAGCCTCAGAGCCCCAGGGAGCTGCAGTGTGCGCTGGGCGCTGAGATGGTGTCTGCGCAGCCCATCTCCCTGTGACCAGGGCGTCGGATGCCTCAGAAGCAGCGCTCCCCAAACTTTTGGGCACCAGGGACCGGTTTCACAGAAGACAGTTTTTCCACAGCTGTGGGTGTGGTGGGATGGTTTTGGGATGAAACTGTCTCACCTCAGATCATCAGGCACTGGATTCTCATAAGGAGCAGCTGAGATCCCTGCATGTGCAGCTCCCAGCAGGGCTCTCGCTCCTGCTAGAGTCTGATGCCTCCGGTGATCTGACAGGAGGCGCAGCCCAGGCGGGAACGGGAACGCTCACCCCCTGCTCACCCCTGCTCACTCACTGCTCACCCCCCTCTCACCTGCTCACCTCCTTACTCACCCCTGCTCACCCCCTGCTCACCCCCTGCTCACCTCCTGCTCTCCTGGGTTCCTGACTGGCTGAGGACTGATACTAGCTGTGGACCAATCCCCTGCCTGAGAGTCTCCCATTCTGGGGTTGGTTGGATGCATTTCCTGGCTTCTGTGGTTGAGACACTAGAGAGAATGGGGAGACCTGTCCCGGAATCAGTAGCTCCTGGTGTGTGTGGGGGCGGTGGGGGCTGGAGGGCAGACCTTGACTAGGGTTACAGACTTAGCGAAACAAAATAAGAGACAGGGCCAGGCGCCTGTAATCCCAGCACATTGGGAGGCCAAGGTGGGCGGATCACCTGAGGGCGGAAGTTCGAGACCAGCCTGGCCAACATGGAGAAACCCTGTCTCTACTAAAAATACAAAATTAGCCCGGTGCAGTGGTGGGTGCCTGTCATCCCAGCTACTCGGGAGGTTGAAGCAGGAGAATCGCTTGAACCCGGGAGGCGGAGGTTGCGGTGAGCTGAGATCATACCGCTGCACTCCAGCCTGGGCAACAAGAGGAAAACTCGGTCTCAAAAAAAAAGGAAAAGAAGAAAAAAAAAAAGAAACAGACACCCAGTCAAGCTGAATGTCAGATAAACAACATTTTTAGTGTAGGCGTGCACCATGCAATCACTGGGGCATCTACCCTACCCTACCCTACCCTACCCTACCCTACCCTACCCTACCCTATCTATACTACATCCTCCTGTTGTTTATCTGGAAATGAAGTGTGACTGGGTGGCCTCTGCTTTACCCGGCAGCCCTCAAGGGCCAACAGGCTCAAGCAGTCAAGTGGACTTTCCGGAGGAGGCAGGTCTTTTTTTTTTTTTTTTTTTTTTTTTGAGGCGGAGTCTCGCTCTGTCGCCCAGGCTGGAGTGCAGTGGCGCGATCTCGGCTCACTGCAAGCTCCGCCTCCCGGGTTCCCGCCATTCTCCTGCCTCAGCCTCCCGAGTAGCTGGGACTACAGGCGCCGCCACCACGCCCGGCTAATTTTTTTGTATTTTTTAGTAGAGACGGGGTTTCGCCGTGTTAGCCAGGATGGTCTCGATCTCCTGACCTCATGATCCGCCCGTCTCGGCCTCCCAAAGTGCTGGGATTACAGGCTTGAGCCACCGCGCCCGGCAAGGAGGCAGGTCTTGAGCTTGGCGAGGATGCAGCAGGGAGAGGGGAAGGACTCAGGTGCAGGGACCGGGTATGATGCAGCCAGAGATGGCATGGGGACTGCCTCAGTAATTAACAAATATCAGGCGGACGCTCTGAGGCCCTGCAAATTCCCCTCCTCCGGAAGGTTCTGGCCCCAGACTCTCCTGTCCCTGTGACTGCTGGGATGTGCCTTGGCAGTCACCCCGCGGGAGCCCCGTGTGCTGTGCCCTGCAGGCACTCACCTCGCCTGCTGCAGGACCCTCCCTGTGTGAGGATGGCATGGTGTCCATCCGTCAGCCCAGCCCCCGGGACCTCATGTGAAATGGGGCCGCCGGTGAGTGCCCTTGTCTGCACCTCCAGGGGTGGACGGGCTGGGCCAGGAGCTGGGAGCGTTCGATTTTAAACACAGTCCAACAGGTTTCCAAACCCATGCTCTGATACGCACAGCACCGGCAGTGTGCAGGGGTGCCTGTGGCTTCTCCCGCGCATCGGCGTCTCCTGGTCCTCTGACCTGCGTTTCCCTGGCTGTTCTGGCGTTCCCGTCGCCTCCCCTGTCGGCTGCTCACCATGCTCCTCTTCCGTACAATCCCGCTGGCCTCTGTGGGCTGCATCTTCCCTTTTGCATTTGCAGGAACCCTCACGTGCTTCCGTCTCCACAGTCTTGTCGGTTGTTTGCAGGAGGTCCTGGCCCTCTGGCCTGTCACCCGCCTACAGCCAACTCCTTGGGACTCTGCTGTTCTCGCTGTGGGGAAGGACGGTGTGTGACTATGTGGTCTGACGCAGGGACCCGCCAGTGAGGGGCCTCTTGCCCCCAATCACATCCTCCTATCCCTTTCTCTGCCCCCAAACCCCCAGGGCAAAGACAGCCTCCGGATCCTGGTGGAGCCCGAAGGGGACAGCTTCCCTCTGATGGAGATCGGCACCTGTGAGGTGGGTGTCCGTGGGCCCCTCCCGGGCCCCCCCGGCCCTGTCCTGCCCCTTCACCTGCACCTGGCCCGGTGCCTCCTTCCTGTAGGCCGAGGCCTCTGAGCAGTGGGACTATGTCCTCGTGGCCCATCATCGCACCCAGGGAGACCCCCGGCAAGAGCAGTTCCTGGAGGAGCTCAGGAGAAAGGGCTTCCACATCAAGGTGGGCTGGTGCCCAGCGAGGGGCACGGGGCGTGGGGCTGGTCACGGGAGCACGGAGGGCCAGGCTTGGAGGCTGTCTCCTGGGCTGGAGGACTGGGGAGAAGCAGGGGCGTGAGAAGCGAGGAGGCTCCGTGGTCTGGGCCAGGGCTGCAGAGGTAGGGAGGGTTCGGAGGTGGAATAGAGGGTCCCGTGTGCCTCCCAGCCCCAGACGATACAGGACCAGAAACGGGTCTTCTTTGGGATCCGTGCTGACAGCCGCATCTTCGACCTGTACCGCACCCTCCTCCTGGAGCCCGAGGGGCCTGCCCCCCACACCGAGCTGGCCGCTCCGACCCCCGTCCCGGTCACCACGAGGTGAGAGGCTGCACCCAGAGCTGCGGCCAGGAGGATCCCTTGCCACCCGTGTGCTTGGTCCAGACTGGGCAGGAGACAGTGCCAGGCTCCGGGCATCGCCAAGGCGGGACAGCCGCGTGGTCTCAGGGCAGGGGCCACAGGTGTGAGACCCACTGGCTGTGTGAGCCTCAGCTTCCCCATCCCAATAAAGGATCATGGTGGTTCTCACCTCTCAGAGCGTTCTGAGGGTCCCGTGTGGCTGCCTTCGTTCCTGGGGACAGAGTCAGAGCCAGCCTTAGGGGGTGGGCGGCATTTGCAGAGGCCCAGTGGCCCCTCCTGGACCAAGGCCAGTGTCTCTTGAAGACGCCTCCTCTCCAGGTCTGATGCCCCTTCCTGGACACTGTCCCTGGCCTCCCAGGCACAGACCCAGAGGCCCGGCAGGGACAGCCTCCTCACTCCCTCAGGCCCTGCTTCTCCCCAGTCCTCCAGCCCGGGAGGGAGCCTCCAAGCCTGGCCCTCCATGCCCCCACGACCTGCCCAGCCCCGTCCAGGCCCCGCAGGGCTCAGCCAGAGCCTGCTTTGTGGACCGGCCAAGGACACTCCTGGCAGTGGTCACGAGGCAGTGGAGGGGGCAGCGGATCCGTGAACAGAGAGCTGTGGGTCTTCGGGGGTCGCCAGGGGGCATCAAAGAAGGGGAGGTGGCTTGAGGGGGCGCGTGCCTGCGACGTGCCCTGGGGTGTCCAGGAGCCATGTCTCTAGGCACAGGGGGAGGCTCGGAGCCCGGCTCTGCCGTCGGACACCCGGTTGTGCTGCTTTGTGGCTGTGTGGCCTCGGGACATTCCCTTTCCTGAGCCCCAGTCTCTGCACAGACAGAACAGCTCCCAGGGTATAAGGAGGGTGTGTGCGGACAAAGGCCGGGGTGTGCTCTGGACACAAGGGGCCCGCAGGTGGGAGGTGTGGTTGGAGGTGGGGGCTGTGGTCTGGGATTCTGGGAGGGACGGGCTGGGAGGAGAGGAAGCCCCCAGCCCAGCCTCATCCTGGACGCTGTGGGGCAGGTCAGGCCCCGGGAGCACTTTAAGGAGGGTGTTGGGGGAGCTCCCGGGTGGGTTGTGGATTCCGGGTTCCGGTCAGGGCTGGTAGGCTGGGGGCTCCGCCAGGACAGGGAGGGGCCTGGGCCTGGCCAGACCAGAGGGCAGGTCGAGACCTGGAGGCAGGGTCCACTGTGGTCACACGGGCCCACCCTGCTCTGGCTCTTGAATCTCAGAATCCGAATCGTGAACTTCGTTGTCATGAAGACCAAGACCTCGGCTGGCGGTGAGGGCAGGGCTGGGGCACCGACGGGGCGCCGCGGGCAGCCTCCTCCAGCACTTCACTCCCCCTGACTCGTGAGCCCCTGTGACCCACAGAGACCTTCGAGGATCTGGAAAAGGACGGGGTCTTCGAGGCCAAGTTCCCCCTGCACAAGGTGAGGAGTGGGCAGCCGGGAGAGGGCCTTGGGGTGGGACCCTGGGATGGGGGCTCTCATTCCCTGTTGCCCGAGCCAGGGGGAGGCACACCTGAAGAAGACGTGGGCAGGCTGGAGACACATGTTCCGCGAGCAGCCAGTTGATGAGATCAGGTAACGCTGGCCAAAGAGATCGCAGGAACCCCACGGACGCCCCCAGATACCCACGGGAGCCCCCACAGCCCTGCAGACTAACCCACACACACCACCCGGAAGTTGCCACCCCCTGTGGATGCCTCCACACCACCACGGCTGCCCTCACCCCTGTAGACGCCCCCACACACCACCCAGAAGATGCCCCCACACTGCCCACACCCCCACAGATGCCCCCATGCCCACAGATGTGCTCCCCATTCAGACTCACTGATGCCACCAAAGGAGAGACCCGCCTCCCCCCACCCTCGTCCCTCCCACCTCCACCACCCCCCACACCCCCTCCCACCCCCGTCCCTCCCCCACCGCCCCTCCCACCCCCGTCCCACCCCTACGCCCCCTCCCACCCCCGTCCCTCCCCACCGCCCCCTGACAGCCACGTGCCCAGCGGAGCGGGCCTTGACCGCTGCTGCCTGCAGGAACTACTTTGGGGAAAAGGTGGCCCTGTACTTCGCCTGGCTGGGCTGGTACAACTACATGCTGGTGCCGGCCGCCCTGACAGGCCTCTTGGTCTTTCTGAGCGGATTCTCGCTGTTTGATGCCAGCCAGATCAGGTGGGCTGCAGCAGGGGCCGGGCGTGGGGGTCCGGGGTGGGCCCCACTGCCAGGAGGAGCTGGCCCCAGCCTCATCCCTGCCCCTTCAGCAAGGAGATCTGTGAGGCCCACGACATCCTCATGTGTCCCCTCGGCGACCACAGCCGCAGGTACCAGCGGCTCTCGGAAACCTGCACTTTCGCCAAGGTTTGTCACCTCTGGGTCCACCCCAGGGCCTGCGGATGATGGGCACAGTGCGCCCACCCGGAGGTGGGGAGGCCAAGGCCTTGGAGCCCTGCAGAGCTGCTCAGTTTCCCCACAGGGCTGAGGGGGAGGCCCAGCCCCAGCCCACCCCCCCTCCCCGGCCCAACCCCCCCGGCTCACCCCCCCGGCCCACCCCCCCCTCCCCGGCTCACCCGCCCCCCCCCGGCTCACCCCCTCCTCCCCGGCTCACCCCCCCTCCCCCGCTCACCCCCCTCCCCCGCTCACCGCCCCCCTCCCCGGCTCACACCCCCCTCCCCGGCTCACCCCCCGCCCCCCGCTCACCCGCCCCCCTCCCCGGCTCACACCCCCCTCCCCGGCTCACCCCCCCCCCGCTCACCCGCCCCCTCCCCGGCTCACACCCCCCTCCCCGGCTCACCCCCCGCCCCCGCTCACCCGCCCCCCTCCCCGGCTCACACCCCCCTCCCCGGCTCACCCCCCCCCCGCTCACCCGCCCCCCTCCCCGGCTCACACCCCCCTCCCCGGCTCACCTGCCCCCCTCCCCAGCTCACCCGTCTCCTCTCCGGCCCACCCATCACCCCCCCAGCTCACTCACCTCTTTGACAATGACGGCACGGTGGTGTTCGCCATCTTCATGGCTCTCTGGGGTGAGTTGCTGCGAGACGCCTCTGCGGGGCCGGGGGAAGTGCCAGCCTGAGCTCCAAGGTCCACCCGGCGTAGCGCGGTGATGCCCCTCCTTGCCCCCGCCACAGCCACGGTGTTCCTGGAGATCTGGAAGCGGCAGCGTGCCCGCGTGGTCCTGCACTGGGACCTGTACACGTGGGACGAAGACCAGGTGAGGTGGAGCTGGCAGCACAGCTGAGGCGGACCTGGGCACAGGCTGTGGGCGCCTGGTGCCCTGCACGGCCTACATATGCCTGTCGTGTTTGAGGCGTGTGTCCCGTGTCTGTCTCTCCACGTGTGGGGCATGTGTCCCGTCTGTCCCCTGTGAGGCGTGTCCCTGTGCCCGTGTCCCCACGTGTGGGGCGTGTGTCCTATCTGTCCCGTGAGGCGTGTCCCTGTGTCTGTGTCCCCACGTGTGGGGCGTGTGTCCCGTCTGTCCACCTGTGAGGCGTGTCCCGTGTCTGAGGCTTGCCTGGTGCTCTCCCCAGGAGGAAATGGCACTTCAGCTCATTAACTGCCCTGACTACAAGCTCCGGCCACACCAGCACTCCTACCTGCGCAGCACCGTCATCCTCATCCTGTCCCTGATCATGGTATTCGGGGGACACCGCGGTGGGGCTGGAGACCCGGGCTGCGCACCCGCCCTGGCCCCCACCCACCACAGCCGTCCCGCAGATCTGCCTCATGATCGGCATGGCCCACATCCTGGTGGTCTACCGCGTCCTGGCCTCTGCACTCTTCAGCAGCTCGGCCCTGCCCTTCCTGGAGGATCAGGTGACCACAGCAGTGGTGGTGACCGGAGCCCTGGTGCACTATGTGACCATCAGCATCATGACCAAGGTGGGGCCGGGAGCGGGGCAGGCGCGAGCTGGGGGGTCTGCCGTGGCCCCAGTGAGCCCATTCGGTGCCCTCCTCCGCAGATCAACAAGTACGTGGCCCTGAAGCTTTGTGACTTCGGTGAGAGGACGACCCCAGGCCCTCTTGGGGGACCCGGCGGGAGGACTCAGGGCTGGGCCTTGGAGCTGTGGTCAGAGAGCAGGGGAGGGGGCCCTTCCTGCTGCCCCAGGGCCTCTCCCATGAGCAGGGAGAGAGGTGAGGGCCCGTTCCGTTCCAGAGATGCCCAGGACCCACTCGGAGCGAGAGAGCAGGTTCACCATCCGCTTCTTCACACTGCAGTTCTTCACCCATTTCTCGTCTCTCATCTACATCGCCTTCATCCTGGGCAGGTAGGGCCGGCGCCAGGCTGCTCCAACCCAACTCACGAGGGCTTGTTCCACCGCCTTTAAAGTGGCAATATCCATTCTTTTAATTTTAAAAATAATTTCTGCTGAGAACGAGTGGAAATCCAACATAGAGACACGTGAACGAAGCCTGCAGTGAGCCCAGCTTGTAAATTCCAGGCCCTGAGGTCCATCAAGACAGTCTGGTGGCCTCCCAGGCTTCCTCATGCATTTGCAGGCACGTAACAGCACTGGCAGAAATGGCTTTGTCCTAGGAATAAGGGCACCTGCTCTTTATGCTGGAAATGCACTCAGTGTCTTCCTGGGCCTGCCTGTCCACGCACCCTCATATACATGAGAGAGACAGGGTCTCGCTGCCGCCAGGCTGTTGTCCAGTGGCACAATGTTGGCTGACTGTATGGTAGTCTTGACCTCCTGGGTCTCATGAGTAGCTGGGATTACAGGTGTGCACCACCACACCCAGCTAATTTTAATAATTTTTGTGGAAATGGGGTCTCACCGTGTTACCCAGGCTGGTCTGGAATTCCTGGGCTCAAGCGATCCTCCCGCCTCAGGCTCGGTATTAGGATTTCAGGCGTGAGCCACTGCACCTGGCCAAAAAAAGGTGCACATTGATTGTGGAGCCAGAAAGGTTCATTTCACTAATTAGGAAGGTGAGATGAGAGGGATGCTGTAGGAAGATGAGATGAGAGGGATGCTGTAGGAAGATGAGATGAGAGGGATGCTGGCTGCAACTTTACTTTTCTTTTTTTTGAGACGGATTCTCACTCTGTCACCCAGGCTGGAGTGCAGTGGCGCGATCTTGGCTCACTGCAACCTCTGTTTCCTGGGTTCAAGCGATTCTCCTGCCTCAGCCTCCCGAGTAGCTGGGACCACAGACGCCCACCACCACGCCTGGCTAATTTTTGTATTTTTTGTAGAGATGGAGTTTCACCGTGTTGGCCAGGCTGGTCTTGAACTCCTGACCTCAGGTGACCCACCTGCCTTGGCCTCCCTAAGTGCTGGGATGACAGGTGTCAGCCACCACGCCTGGCCCTGTAGATGCTGGTTCTCGACCTCCATCCGTCTTGGGAAAGGCGTGCACCATGGCTTGCTGTGGGCCACCTATCTCCTGGCGGACCTCTCACTCTGGAAGTTCCTGGGACTGAACCCTGGTCTCCTGTCTGCAGGCAGGAGGATGCTGTCTATGTGCTGGGGCTGGGGCTGGGGTTGGGGAGGACACTGTGGGGCCTCAGTGTCAATTGGTCCAACCCTGTGTGCTGAGTCCTTGGTTGTTGAAAACCCTAGTGAGCTTCTAGTCCTCCTGAGGGGGCTTTGTGGTCAGGTAGGAGGCCCAGGGACCTTCCAGCTGCAGCTGCATTCTCCGAATCAGTGCCCCCAAGTCACCAGGCAGCCAAGTCCTGAGGCTTCCTGGGGCTCCCGGCAGCGCTGGATTGCTTCCTGAGTATCTCCCCTGAAAGCCTGATGTCTTGAGCGGACTGCAGGCCTCTCCGGTTCCCTTCTACCTGTAAGGTGATGCCTGATAGTGGTGTCAGCAGCCTGTCATTTTATTTTATTTATTTACTTTTCCAGACAGGATCTTGATCCATTGCCCCAGGCTGGAGTACAGCCTCAAACTCCTGGTTCAAGCGATCCCCCTGCCTCAGCCTCCTGAATAGCTGGGACTACAGGCATGTGCCACCACGCCTGGCTAATTTTTTATATTTTTTGTAGAGACGGGGTTTTGTCATGTTGCCCAGGCTGGTCTCGAACTCCTGGGTTCAAGCGATCCTCCTGCCTCGGCCTCCCCACGTGCTGAGATGACAGGTGTGAGCCTCCGTGCCTGCAGTCGCCAGTTTAATTGTGACTTGGGAGTGTGCGTTTACATTAACATAGATCCTGCTAAAGAGACCTCCAGAAAGGCCGTGTCAGCAACAAAGTCACCCACAGTGTGCGAAACGTTCCATCCTGAGCCAACGGGCAGTCTTTTCATTTTTTTTTTTTTTTTTTTTTTTTTGAGACGGAGTCTCGCTCTGTAGCCCGGGCTGGAGTGCAGTGGCCGGATCTCAGCTCACTGCAAGCTCCGCCTCCTGAGTTTACGCCATTCTCCTGCCTCAGCCTCCCGAGTAGCTGGGACTACAGGCGCCCGCCACGTCGCCCCGCTAGCTTTTTGTATTTTTTAGTAGAGACGGGGTTTCACCCTGTTAGCCAGGATGGTCTCGATCTCCTGACCTAGTGATCCGCCCGTCTCGGCCTCCCAAAGTGCTGGGATTACAGGCTTGAGCCACCGCGCCCGGCCAGTCTTTTCATTTTTCAAATGTGCCTTTAAAAAAATATTGGTGAGGAGCCGGGCACGGTGGCTCAGGCCTGTCATCCCAGTATTGTTGGAGGCCGAGGTGGGCGGATCACGAGATCAGGAGATCAAGACCATCCTGGCTAACACGGTGAAACCCTGTCTCTACCAGGGATACAAAAAATTAGGCGGGCGTGGTGGCGGGTGCCTGTAGTCCCAGCTACTGGGGAGACTGAGGCAGGAGAATGGCATGAACCTGGGAGGCGAAGCTTGCAGTGAGCTGAGATCGCACCACTGCACTCCAGCCTGGGTGACAATGTGAGACTCAGTCTCAAAAAAACCCAAAAAACCAAAAAACTATTGGTGAGGTTTAGCATCTTTCCAGATATTTATTGACCATTGTGTTTTTTTCCTACAACTGACTGACTGTTCATATTATCTAAGCATTTTTGTTATCGTAGCACCAAGGCAAAGTTTTCTTTCTTTCTTTCTTTCTTTCTTTCTTTCTTTCTTTCTTTCTTTCTTTCTTTCTTTCTTTCTTTCTTTCTTTTCTTTCTTTCTTTCTTTTCTTTCTTTCTTTTCTTTCTTTCTTTCTTGTCAGTTTCTTAAAATCATGGTATGTTTTAGTTTGCATCATATTTATAACATTTATTGTACAGCTCTTTGTTTTTCCTGGAGTCTCTTTTATCTTTTTTTTTTTTTTTTTTTTTTTTTTGTCGGCCTTCCAATCCATCTGCTGGGATCCATCTCTGTGTATTACACAGAGTCCCTTTTCTTCCGGAAATCTTCTCGGGAGCCCTCCACTCTCCTGCCCAGTCCTGGGGTTTCTAGTTGCCTTTTTTTCTTGAATGCCTTTATCATACCCTCAATTTTATCCAGCCTCTCTACGGTGTACCATGTATTGCACAGACTCCCTTTTCTTCCAGAGACCTTCCCTGGGAGCCCTCCACTCTCCTACCCACGCCTGGCAGGTTGCTCTCTGGGTCTCTTTCACGGCTGTCTTCTTGGGACTTGTTTCTGTTACTTTCCTGGGTTAGGGCCACTATTTCCTGAATTCCCAAGCCATCTTCTTTCTTGGTTTTTGCTCTTTTTCACTAAAAAAAGTATATTTGGGAGGTAAACTTTCTGAATTCTTCTATGTCTAAAAATGTCTTTATTCTACCCTCCCATGTGATTGACATGGCTGGGTATAGCAATCTAAGTTCAAAATAAATGTCCTTCTAGAACTTGAAAGGCACTGTGTTGCCTTCTAACACACAAAGCGACTGGTGAGAAGTGTGTGGAAAACCTGATTTTCATTCCTTCCTAGGCCTTCTACTTTTTTCCTTCTGGAAGCTCTAGGACTTTCTCTTTAAACCGGGGACAAATGGCCGGGCACAGTGGCTCATGTCTGTAATCCCAGCACTTTGGGAGGCCGAGGCTGGTGGATCACGAGGTCAGGAGATTGAGACCATCTTGGCTAACATGGTGAAACCCCGTCTCTACTAAAAATACAAAAATTAGCCGGGCAAGGTGGCGGGCGCCTGTAGTCCCAGCTACTCGGGAGGCTGAGGCAGGAGAATGGCAGGAACCCGGGAGGCGGAGCTTGCAGTGAGCTGAGATCGCGCCACTGCACTCCAGCCCGGGCGACAGAGCGAGACTCTGTCTCAAAAACAAACAAACAAACAAACAAAAACTGGGGACCAATACTACTTTTTTCCTTCTGGAAGCTCTAGGACCTTCTCTTTAAACTGGGGACCAATACAGGGGTGGGTTTTTCTTTATCACTGTGCTGGGCAATCGGTGAGCCCTTCCCATTGAAATCCTGTGTCCTGTCTAGGCTCCTTAAATTTTCTTCTTTTTTAAATACTTTTTTCCCTCAGGTATGGTTTTAAAAATGTTTCCTTCCGCTTTCTCTTCACGGAGCTTCTGGTCCTTGCGGCTTGTTGACCACGCTCCTCGCCTTTTTCGCCCATGCGTCCCTTCTCTGTCTCCTCCTGTAACATCTGGGGAGATTTCTTTCACTTTGCCTTTTTCTCCATCCATTGATTTCTTTGTTTTACATTTAACTATTAAAGTCTTAATTTCTTTTTTTTTTTTTTTTTGAGACGGAGTCTCGCTCTGTCGCCCAGGCTGGAGTGCAGTGGCCGGATCTCAGCTCACTGCAAGCTCCGCCTCCCGGGTTCACGCCATTCTCCTGCCTCAGCCTCCCGAGTAGTTGGGACTACATGCGCCTGCCACCGCGCCCGGCTAGTTTTTTGTATTTTTTAGTAGAGACGGGGTTTCACCGTGTTAGCCAGGATGGTCTCGATCTCCTGACCTCGTGATCCGCCCGTCTCGGCCTCCCAAAGTGCTGGGATTACAGGCTTGAGCCACCGCGCCCGGCCTAAAGTCTTAATTTCTAAGAGTGTTTTTTGTTCCCTATTTATTTTTTATTCACAGCATCCCATCTGTGTTTTTATTTTCTTGAGGATTTCAATTAGGTTTTCCTTCTCCCTAAGTTCTCATCTGTTCCCTGATTATCTCTTGTTTCCTAAAGGGTCCATTTTTGGTTTTTAATCATTATCCTCCTGTTACACAGGTGGTTTCCCTCTTGTGAGTAAACCTTCATGGGTATTCATTCATATTAAGGACCCAAGATCTGAATTGATTTTTCTCGATGGATGAGATGGGTCTTTATAATGGCTGGGACTACAGGCTCACGCTACCATGCCTGGCTAATTTTTGTATTTTTAGTAGAGACAGGGTTTCTTCATGTTGGCCAGTCTGGTCTTGAACTCCTGACCTCAAGTGATCTGCCTGCCTCAGTCTCCCAATGCTGGGATTTCAGGTGTGAGCCACTGGACCTGGCCCACAGTTGAACATATTGATTAATCTTGAGGAATGGCATAATAGTAGCTACATCCATTGCACACTCACACATTCTATCATTAACTCATTTAATCTGCACAATAGCCCTATAGGGCACAGCTGATCTACAGATTAGATGACTGAGAATCAGAGAGGTTAAGAAACTATCTCTAGGACACACAGCCAGTGGGTGGTGGAACAGATAAAAACCCCAAAGTCTGGCTCTAGAGCTTAGTTCTAGGCAGTGCCTCTTTGCACAGGGGGTCTCTTGGAAAACAGAGGTGAAAATGTATCTGGTTTCCCATGTTACACTACAGCAAATTTTCTTTTTGACAATACGTTCCTTTATGGTTCTATTTTTTCATGCCACTGCCCCCCCCAGCCCCCATCGCACATCTCTACAAAGAATAGAATATTAGTTGGGTGTGGTGGTGTGGGCCTGTAGTCCTAGCTACTTGGGAGGCTGAGGTGGGAGGATGACTGGAGCCTGGGAGGTGGAGGCTGTAGTGAGCCATAATCTCACCATTGCACTCCAGCCTGAGTGACAGAGATCCTGTCTCAAAACAAACAAACAAACCAAAAAAAACCTTAAACGTTCAAATCCCTGACTTGTAAGGAATTTGTTTTGCTGCAAGGGGCAGAGGAGGGAAGCCTGTTTGAAATGAGGGAAGCCTGTTTGAAATGCCTTCTTCATCATACCCCAAATTCCATTCTTTGCTTATATATTGTCTTTTCATGGATTCTGACAAGTCCAGGGCTAGCCCCTTGCTGTGTTGGGTATTATTGCTTTATGCCTTACTGTAGGGTGGGGCTAGCTGCTGTCCATCACTCTTCTTTTCTACTTTTTTAATGGTTATTTACGTATTTCATTCTTTCAGATGAATGTCAGAATCATTTTGTCAAATTACCTAAAAATTCTGTGAGACTGGCTGGGCACGGTGGCTCACGCCTGTAATCCCAGCACTTTGGGAGGCTGAAGTGGGCGGATCATGAGGTCAGGAGTTTGAGACCAACCTGGCCAGCAGGGTGAAACCTCGTCTCTACTAAACATACAGAAATTAGCCGGACGTGGTGGTGCACGCCTGTAATTCCAGCTAATCAGGAGGTTAAGGCAGGAGAATCACTTAAACCCAGGAGGCGGAGCTTGCAGTGAGCCGAGATCGCGCCATTGCCCTCCAGCCTGGGCGACAGAGCAATACTCTGTCTCAAAAAAAAAAAAAAAAAAAAAAAAAAAAAATTCTGTGGGACTATGGGACTTGGCTTAAGATCGTAGAAGTAAAATGATACATTATTTCCAAGAAAATCACCATAACAAATGACCACAGCTTAGTGGCTTCAAACAGTCAAATTATTACCTCCCAGTTCTGCAGGCCACAAGTCCCAGATGAGTCCCACCAGCTGAAAACCAAGGGGTTAGCAGGGCTGGGCTCCTTCTGGAGGCCCCAGGGGAGAATTCGTTTTCAGCTTCTCCTTGGTGCATGGCTGCTCCTCCCCCTGCAGAGCCTGTAGTGTGGGGCTGAGTCCTTCTGACTCCCAAGTCCCTCTGGGTCCTGAGTCCTTCTGGGTCCTGAGTCCTCCTGGGTCCCGAGTCCTTCTGGGTCCTGAGTCCTTCTGGGTCCTGAGTCCTCCTGACTCCTGAGTCCTTCTGGGTCCTGAGTCCTCCTGACTCCTGAGTCCTTCTGGGTCCTGAGTCCTCCTGACTCCTGAGTCCTTCTGGGTCCTGAGTCCTCCTGACTCCTGAGTCCTTCTGGGTCCTGAGTCCTTCTGAGTCCTGAGTCCTTCTGAGTCAGGCCAACTCCCAGCTGCTCCCTGTCCCCATGGAGGGACCCTTGTGATTACACCAGGAAAACCAGATAACCCGAGATAATCTCCCCATCTCAAAGCCAGCTGATTCAAAGCCTTAATCCCATCTGCCGTGTGAGATAAAATTCCTTTGCCAGGTAAGAACGTGGTCACAGGCTCCAAGAATGAGCACGTGGATGTCTTTGCAGCCCCTCGCTCTGACTACAAATACCTCCCGCGTTTCCTTATGGAAGAACAAGGTTCTCCACGCAAGTCTTTCATGCTCCTTAGTAGTTCTATAGTTTTCTTCATGTAGGCCCCACAGATGCCTTGTGAGTTTCAGTCTCGTTATGGTATAACTTGTGCTGGTGTCTGCGGGCGACCGATGCTTTCTCACGCCACATTTCCCTGCAGCTTTTCCCCACACAGACAAGCCAGTTCTGCTGGATGCTCACTTTGCATCCACTTGAGCACCCGATTGATTTATCCACCCAGCCTTTCAGTTGTTTTATTTTGATTTTCCAGGTATATAATCATGTTTTCTAAAAAGAGCCATTGTTTCCTTTGCAAATGTATACTATTTATACTTTATATTTCTCTTGCTGATTTGCAAGGAATTCCAGAACCGTGTTAAATACCAGCTGTCGTGAGCTACAATAGGAATGCTTTCGGATTTCACCACTGACCACGAGCCTGGCTTTTGGTTTAAGATAGTTCATGTATTTCTCATATTATGGAAAGCAAGTGATTTTAAACACAAAATAACCCAATGTGCCGTTTCCAGGGGGAGAAACTGAGGCCACCTGTAACAGACAGTGTCTGGAGCACGTGTCAGAGCCTGTGGCCTCGCCTGTATGTGTGTGTGTGTGTGTGAACGTCCACGTGCAGGTGCGGTTTGTCTGGGAGCCTGTGGCCTCCCCTGTGTGTGTGTGTGTGTGTGTGTGTGCGTGCCCACGTGCAGGTACAGTTTGTCTGGCAGCCTGTGGTCTCCCCTGTGTGTGTGTGTGTGTGTGTGTGTGTGTGTGCGTGTGAATGTCCACGTGCAGGTACAGTTTGTCTGGCAGCCTGTGGTCTCCCCTGTGTGTGTGTGTGTGTGTGTGTGTGCGTGCCCACGTGCAGGTGCGGTTCGTCTGGGAGCCTGTGGCCTCCCCTGTGTGTGTGTGTGTGTGTGTGTGCGTGCCCACGTGCAGTGCGTTCGTCTGGGAGCCTGTGGCCCACCTGTGGTGTGGGTGGTGTGTGTGCGTGCCCACGTGCAGGTGCGGTTCGTCTGGGAGCCTGTGGCCTCCCCTGTGTGTGTGTGTGTGTGTGTGTGTGTGCGTGCCCACGTGCAGGTGCGGTTCGTCTGGGAGCCTGTGGCCTCACCTGTGTGTGTGTGTGTGTGTGTGCGCGCGCGCCCACGTGCAGGTGCGGTTTCTCTGGGAGCCTGTGGCCTCCCCTGTGTGTATGTGTGTGCGCGTCCACGTGTGGGTGTGGTTCGCCTGGATGTGAGCACTTGTGCCCCGCTCACCTGAGGGCCTGCCCTGCCTGTTCTTTCCTCTCTGCTTCTGTCCTGCTGCACCCACCCTGTCCGAGGCAGGCCTGCAGTGCCCCAGACCTCCCCTTCCCCCCCAGGATCAATGGCCACCCCGGGAAGTCCACGCGCCTGGCAGGCTTGTGGAAGCTGGAAGAGGTCAGTCGCCCCCAGGCTTCAGGCCACTGCTCCCCTGACCGTCCCCCAGGACCCCTCCCTGATCCCCTCCCCCGTCTGGCCCCGCAGTGCCACGCCAGCGGCTGCATGGTGGACCTGCCCCCCTGCCCTCCCCCAGGACCCCTCCCTGACTCCTCCTCTCTGGCCCCGCAGTGCCACGCCAGCGGCTGCATGATGGACCTGTTCGTGCAGATGGCCATCATCATGGGCCTGAAGCAGACACTCAGCAACTGCGGGAGTACCTGGTCCCGTGAGTGCCGACCCCGCCCAGCCCCGGGAGCCCCGGCCCCTCCGCCCCTGCGCCCTCCCCGCCACGCAGCTCTCCCCGCAGGTGGGTGACCCACAAGTTCCGCTCTCTGCGGGCCTCCTTGGCCGGGCACCTGCCCCGGGACCCCGAGCTCAGGGACTGGCGGCGCAACTACCTTCTGAACTCTGTCAACGTCTTCAGCCTGTTCGACGAGTTCATGGAGATGAGTGCGTGGGCGCTGCGGGGCGGGGGTTCGCGAGACTAATGCGGGGCGGGGTCCACGGCCATGAGCGCGGGGCGCCGGCGAGCCTGACCCCCGCCCCGCAGTGATCCAGTACGGCTTCACCACCATCTTCGTGGCCGCCTTCCCGCTGGCGCCGCTGCTCGCGCTCTTCAGCAACCTCGTGGAGATCCGCCTCGACGCCATCAAGATGGTCTGGCTGCAGCGGCGCCTGGTGCCGCGCAAGGCCAAGGACATCGGTCAGGCCCCGCGGGTGCAGGATGGGTGGGAACCGGGCGGCCTCAGGCCTGTGGGCTTCCCGCTGGCCACGCCGGCTCAGCTGGACATAATCTGTGATCTCACACCGCAGACAGCCCCCAGCCCTCCTCTGATGGCCTCGGCCTCGGATGTGGGCTGAGCCTGGGTGGGAGGGTCCCAGAGTGGGCGGGGCGGGGCGCTTTGTAGGCCCCTCCCACAAACCTTCAGGCTCTCACGGAGGGGCTTGACGTCCCCAAGCGGACCCAGGTTCTGCCAGTGGCTGGGGCAGGAACAGAGCAGCCGGCCTGTGTCCCAAGACTGGTCACGTGGAGATGGACAGGCAGCAGGGGAGCCACAGGGGCTGGGGCGCTGGATGTGGGGAAAGGGAGAGAGGTGTTAGGAGGCCCCCAGTCTTGGGGCCCAGGTTACAAGGTCTTACCCTGGGGTGGGAACCCACGAGGTGGAGTGGCTTGGGGGAGAAGTTCAGGAAGATGGAGGATGAGGGTCCTGGGTCCCTCCCTGTCCACGTCAGGGTGAGGGTGCAGGAGCGCTGAGGCCATGCTCTGCCGTGGCTGGGGACTTCCTCATGAATACTGTGGCCCTAGGGCTGCAATGGGACACCATGCACAGAGACATGGCATGCCCGTCGTTGGCCGGGGGTGGGGCAGAACGAGCCGAGGGAGACGAGTCAGACCGCTTGTCCACTGCTCTGGTGCAGGGACCTGGCTGCAGGTGCTGGAGACCATCGGTGTGCTGGCGGTCATCGCCAACGGGTTGGTCATCGCCTTCACATCTGAGTTCATCCCCCGCGTGGTCTACAAGTACCGCTATAGCCCATGCCTGAAAGAAGCCAACTCCACCGTCGAGTAAGGCCTCACAGTGTCTGGAGACCCCGAGGAGAAACTGGCCCCACGACAGCCAAGCCCTGGGGAAACCCAGACTGTCTCTCCTGGGAATGGCTGGATCTGTCAATACCCCTGGGGCTTTAATGAGGCTGGGGCCCGGGGGGTGGCCCCTGCCCTGTGCCCACTGACTGCAGGCCCTGGGCTGGAGGTCAGGGATAACTGGCCAGGACCGCAGTTGGGGTGAAGTTCCCAGACCTGGCTGCCTCCTGAGCAGGCCCTGCCAGAACGGCTTCCTCCCGACGTGAGGTTCCGCATGTCCTCTCTGATTTATCCAGCTCTCTGACCTGGAGGAACCACCAAACCAGACTGGGTCCCCAGGGTCAGTCCCTGGCAGGGAAAGTGGCTGGTGATGTCCAGAGTCCCCACAGCACCCCCAAGCCCCTGGATGTGAAGATGTGCTTGGCCTGGGAGCTCCATCCCACTGGAGGCAGTCTGTGGTGTGGCCCCCACCTCACTGTTTGCTCCATAACACAAGCTAGAAGCACCCTGGGGCCTGAAGGGGCCGCCCTGGAAGACACCCCACCCCACACTCTTCTCCCTCTCCCCAGCTGCCTCAAGGGCTACGTCAACCACAGCCTGTCCGTCTTCCACACCAAGGACTTCCAGGACCCGATAGGATTGAGGGCTCAGAAAACGTGACTCTGTGCAGGTTTGGAACTCCCCATCCCCCAAGAATGCCCTCTGAACTCCCGACCCCTGACCTCAGGTACTTCCTTACCCCAGATACAGGGACTACCGCAATCCCCCCGATTACAACTTCTCCGAGCAGTTCTGGTTCCTCCTGGCCATCCGCCTGGCCTTCGTCATCCTCTTGAGGTGAGCCGGAACCGGGAGAGGCCTTGGAGGGGTCTGGCAGTTCTCTCTCCAGCCCTCCTCCCCGGCCCGGAAACCCCAAATGCCTGCTGGCGCCTGATCCTGCCGGACCTCTCCTGTGCTGCCCCTAGCATGTGGCTTTGTGCATCAAGCTCATTGCGGCCTGGTTCGTGCCCGACGTCCCTCAGTCAGTGAAGAACAAGGTTCTGGAGGTGAAGTACCAGAGGCTGCGTGAGAAGATGTGGCATGGAAGGCAGAGGCTGGGCGGGGTGGGGGCAGGCTCTCCGCCCCGATGCCCGCCCATCCCACCCCAACCTCCATCTTCAGGCCAGGAGCACAGACGTGTAGGCCAGAGCCTGTCTAGAGGCCACTAGGAGCTGAGACGGTGCCACCACCAGCACCTCCCACCAGCTCACCGCTATGCGTGTTGAGGGGTGCTGTAAGAAGGCCATGGCCTATGGGGGCCACAGGAGTCCCCTGTATGTTCAGGGCATCTGGAAGCCGCCGGCCTGTTCCGCCTGCTCCGTCTTTGTGGGGCTCTCAGGCTTGGCACAGACCTGACTTGAACTCTGGGTGATTCCGGGCACCCACAGAACTGGGAGTAGGGGGCTCTTCAGGCAGCCACAAGGCAGGAAAACTGGCGCAAGTTTCCTGGGCCTCCCTCTGACTTCTAGGCGCCAGATCCGGCCATGCCCCCATCCTGGCTATTGGGGTACCCTGAGCCCACCTTGCTGGCCTATTCCCTTCAGCCAGCAGTGGCTTCTGTAATAAAATTAAACCTGTCTGTCTTGCTTTCCTGGCCTGGCTGGGTCCCGGGTGGATTATATCTGCCCTCAGGGCTAGATGGGAAACTGAGACCCAGAGTGTGGAAGGTTTGGAACCAGGTGAGGGCGCCGCAGGCCACCTGTCCCTTCTCGGTTTTCCATGGGCTTCCAAGGCAGGGGCGCCTATGGGAGTCCTCTCCTCCCTGCACCTGGGGTGTTGAGGGTAGCAAGAGAAGACATCAGGGTCACTTGGGGGTGAGGTGGGGGTCAAGACAGGCTTCCTGGAGGAAAGGGAAGAGGTAGGGGCGGGCGCGCAGAACCCTGCGGGTGGTGGACGCTCCAAAGAGTCCCCAAGGCTCTGGGGCTCCGGGCTCTGCAGGCTGGCTGGGCTGGTTGGCCACTGGCGCGGCTCCCGGGCAGCAGCGCAGCCTCCAGCGCCAGCCTCCGGCGCAGAGCGGGACGCTGGGGTCCGCCCCCGCCCTGGCTGCGGGGCGGGGCCGCACCTGCTGCCGCCGCCGGGGCTGTTGCCGCTGCGCACCTGGCTCAGGTGAGCTGCCCCGCCCCCGCCCCGCGCGAGCCCAAGTCCTGCAGCAGGTGAGTGGCGGTCGCGATCAGACCCGCGAAGGTGAGTGGAGGTCGCTGTCCTCCCAGAGCCGCTGCAGGCCTGGAATCGGGGGCCCGGGGCGCTGCTGGGTCCCCGGGCGCGGTCTCTCAGGAAGTGGCTCGGGGCCGGGAGGTTCCCGCGTCGCCCGGAAGCCCGAGCTCGCCCGCGTCCTGGCCCCTTCCAGGCCTGGGGGAAGGGAGGAAAGTGGGCGAAGGGGGCGGGGGCCGCCCTTTCCTCTCCCGGACGTGGTCAGCGGCTTTTGGTGACCCTCGGCGCAGAACAGAGCGTGGCGAGGAGCGCCGAGGCTCGCGGGGATCCCACCTCGGTCCCCCAAGCCGGGATCCCAGCTCGAGGCTTCCTGAGGCGCCGAGGGCGGACCAAGAGTCAGGCTGGGCCCGAGTTCGCCGGGCGCCGGGTGGAGCTTCCGCCATCCGCGCGCCTCTGCCGGGCCGAGCGCCCGAGCCGCACCCCCGTGCCCGCCCTCCGCACCTGGAGGGTGCGTCCCAGTCCTCCGCCCTCCGCACCTGGAGGGTGCCCAGGGCGCATGTGGGCACGAGGTAGGGGAGCGAAACGGAGCCCCTCGGCCTGATGCCCACGTTCCTGATTCAGGACCGGTGCAGGGGGCCCAGCGCGCGCGGGGAGCGGAGGGCGGCGCGTCGGAGCTGAGCGGGAGTCACCCGCAGGCTGCTGGTGCTGAGCACCAAACCCACCGGCAGGGGCGGCCGCGCACCGAGGGCGCTGGCTGGTCTGAGGGCGGGAGGAGCTGGCGCTTTCTAAGGACCTCAGGGTGCCCAGCAGAGTGCGGTGGGCAGTGCGAGGCGACCAGGGCCAGGCTTGGACTGAGATTCTGGGCGCCTCGAAAGAGCTGTGCGGGCGAGGGTCGAGACTGTGGGTTTTCATGCTCACCCTGGACGGTGGACTTGGGGCTCGGGGGCGGAGGACCTTAGCAGAGAGAGGGAAGGAGGGGGTGCCAAGTCACCTCAAGCCAGCCCTGAGAGATGGTGACGCCGAGACCGGTGCACAGAGCAGCCACCCGGCCCGGGCTTCGGAGTTGGCGGCTGACCCGGGGCCTGTGCTGGAGGCCCTGCTCCCGCTTCCTGCGGGGGTGCCCTGGGCTCTGCTGTGCCTGCTTCCTGACCTGCAGTGTGGGGAGAACCTTCTTGAGGGGCTTCCAAGGGCCCACTTCAAGGAGGGGCTGGTACCAGGCTCTGTGGGGAAGGGATGCTGTCCGTCCAGCTCTTTACGATCCCGAGCCCAAGGTCCACCATCACCCTAGGCTGAGTGCCCGGACACAGGAGGGTCCTAGCGGGGCTGGGACTCAGGCAGGTAAGTACCTGGAGAAAGCTGCTGTGAGGCTGCCTAGCCAGGGCCAGGAGGCTGGAGGGCAGCCCCTCCATGATGAAGCCCTGCCCCCATGTGGCTGAGGGCAGGCCAGGGGCCAAAGGAGACCCTTGTCTGATTGTGTGGGCAGCACGAGCCACCGGTCACTGGGTGCCGAGTCCCAGGTCAACCTGGGGGTGTCAGTGTGGTGACAACAGGAGATGCCGTCTGCCCCTCACCTGCTCTGAGCCAGGATCCTCAGCCACCTGTGTTTGCTCCTTATCTGGAAAAGGGGGCGCTGCCCTCCCACCCCAGCCTGAAGGGAAGGTCCGCAAGATGCCATAGCCCCTTGCAACTGCTCACCCATGCGGGCCTGGAGAGGGACCGGGAGAGGGCTGACGAGCTCTGCCGGAGCCCCATTGTTGACTGAAGTTTCTGAAGGTCCCCGTTCCCCGGGTCAGAGGTCAGAGGCACACTGGAGAGCAAACCGGCTGGCCCCTTGGCTCCTGAGTGTGAGTCCTAGTGGCACCGGGGAGGCTGCACGGTCCCCGTCCTCCTTGTGTGTGCGCAGGATGGCCCTGGCTGGGGTCTTCTGGCTGGAGGACCCCCCACCCATTACCCCCGGAACCTGCCCCTTTGAGCACCCCCCCACCCACAACACACACACACAACACACACACAAACACAAACACACACACACCACACACACACACAACACACACACACAAAACACACACACACCACACACACACACACACACACCACACACACACAACACACACACAACACACACACAACACAAACACATACACACACCACACACACATACACACAACACACACACAACACAAACACACACAGCACACACAACACACACACCCCCACACACACAAACACACACAACACACACACAACACAAACACACACAGCACACACACACAACACACACACCCCACACAACACACACAACACACACAACACACACACAACACAAACACACACAGCACACACACACAACACACACACAACACAAACACAGCACACACACACAACACACACACCCCACACACATACACACAACACACACACAACACACACACCCCCACACACAACACGCACACACACACCACACACCCCACACACACAACACACACAACACACACACAACACAAACACACACAGCACACACACACAACACACACACACCCCACACACACCACACACACACAACATACACAACACACAACACAAACACACACAGCACACACAACACACACACAACACACACCCCACACACAACACGCACACACAACACACACAAACACACACAGCACACACAACACACACACCACACACACACACAACACAAACACACACCACACACGCAACACACACACGCAACACACACACACAACACACACACAACACACACATACACACATAACACAAACACACACAGCACACACAGCACACACAGCACACACACCCCCCACACACAACACACACCACACACACACCACACAACACACACACACTACACACAAGACAAACACAGCACACACCCCCACACACACACACAACACACACACTACACACACACACCACACACATACACACACCACACACACACCACACACACATACACACAACACACACACACACACCACACACACACCACACACAAACACACACACACAACACACACAACACACACACACAGCACAGAGGAAAGTGCCGTGCCTGGGTGGGTTGGGGCGGGCCCCAGAGGAAGGAGCCGCTTGACTCAGAGCTACAGGAAGAGCCGGGGCAGGCGGGGTGAGAACCACCAACTGCCCGTCCTCCCGCCCGCCTAGGGAAGGGGTGGGTGCCTGGGTGGGGTTTAGGTTTAGGAGAGGATGTGACTGCAAGGCCAGGAAGCTACAGGAAAGTTCTGATTAAAATACACATAAACACAAGCCAGGTCCCCACCGCGCTTGGTGATGCACCCAGAGCAGCCTTGGTGCTGTGGACACTCACTGGGACCCAGCGGAGGCGAGAGTTTGCTCCCAAAGGCACATCAATGACCAACATTTGCCCCCCGGAGGAAAGAACGGGAACCAGGTGACTGTACCTTCCCTGCTGCTCTGAGTGAGCCTGTGTCAGGGCCTGGCTGAGAGGAGGCCTGCGGTGCACAGGACCCATGCATGCATGTGTGTATGTGTGTGTGAGAGAGTGCGAGAGAGCAGGAGGCTGTGAGTGTGGCATCAGCGGCCAAGGGTGGGTGTGAGGTACAGTGTGTGTGCTGTGGGGTGCCTGTGGTCCTGGGCTCTGTGACAAGTGTTGCAATGGGTGTTGTATATACTCAGAAGGTGTGTGAGGGGTCTGCAGCCTAAGCTCTGTGCAGTGGTAATGGGAGCTGTGTGTGGTAGGAAGTGTGCTGTGTGGGAGGTGCAAGCGTGCACACGGGCTGAGACTGAAGCTCAGTGCAGGTGTGCTTGGGCAGAGGGCTGTGTGTATGTGATGTGTGCAGGGGAGGGGAGGCAGAGGAGTGGGTGCAGGGGAAGGTAGGGAGGGGAGGGGGTGCAAGGAAAGGTGTGCAGGGGAGGGTGCAGGAGAAGGTAGGCAGAGGAGAGGGTGCAGGGGAAGGTAGGCAGAGGAGAGGGTGCAGGGGAAGGTAGGCAGAGGAGAGGGTGAAGGGAAAGGTGGGGAGGAGAGAAGGTGCAGGGGGAGGTAGGTAGAGGAGAGGGTGCAGGGGAGAGGGTGCAGGGGAAGGTAGGCAGAGGAGAGGGTGCAGGGGAAGGTGCACAGAGGAGTGGGTGCAGGGAAAGGTGGGGAGGAGAGAAAGTGCAGGGGGAGGCAGGCAGAGGAGAGGGTGCAGGGGAGAGGGTGCAGGGGAAGGTGGGCAGGGGAGAGGGTGCAGGGGAGGGCACCTACTTTCTTGCTGTGCTCATATCCTGGCAGTCTGCCCTTGACTTCCAGAAGGCTCTGAGGCTGTTTTGGAGGGAGGACTTTGAGGTCTGAGCTTGGGGCAGTCATGGAGGCACTGCAGGAGATGCCGGGGGTTCTGCTGGGCTGGGGGTGTGTCCTCCCGCACTTGCTGTGAGGAGTTGGTGGCCTGGGAAGTGTGTGTTTTAAGGACCCTCAGTGGGTGGTTCCCCTGGGTCAGACTTTCCTTGGACTGTCCTCCACCGCAAGGGCTTCTTCAAGGACCCCCTTGCCATCCCCCATGGGAGTGCACCCCATGCCATGTTGGTTCCCGAGGAAACTGCCAAACAGCCAGACCTGGGCCTCTGACTGTGCTTCACCCATGCAGAGGGAACAGGTGGCAGGCTAAGAGGACCGTCCCTGCTACCGCCTCTGGGGCCTTAGCGGGGAGGAATCCTGAGGGAACTGGGGTGCAGAACCTTAGGCTTGATCCCCACATCCCCACTTCCACTGTGTCCCTGCAGCAGGGAGAGGCGTAGACAGTCAGTGCCTGTTGGATAAACAGGGTGACCCTGTGGTACCCAGTGAGGAGAGGCCCTCAGGGCCCTGGGCTGCCAAGGAAGAGGCTCTGGGCTCCTCCCTGCGGCTACCTCACTGAGGAGCTTTGGGAGACTTGAGGTGTGTGTGGCTGCTGCTACGGGCTGGGAAAGGGCCCAGGACCCGGGACCTATATCCCCACTGGGCCCCGCTCACCCTCCAGCCTCACAACCGCAGGGCGAGGCTAAGCTGAGGTTCCCGAGGCGTTTCCCGAGGCGTTTCGAGGTGTCTGTGCTCATGTGCACTCCTGACTGTATCAGACGTGGTCAGAGCTGGGCACCCCCCCCGGCTGTATCCAGACATGGCCAGAGCTGGGCACCCCCACCCGGCTGTATCCAGACATGGGTCAGAGCTGGGCACCCACCCCCTGGCTGCATCCAGACGTGGTCAGAGATGGGCCCCCCATGGTATAGGGCACATCACTCACCCCTGCCCCAAGACCAGGCTGTGTCTCTGGCACTGCAGCACCCCCTGCAGTGGCAGCTCCATTGAAGGGGACAGCCAGGAGTGAGGCCAACTGCCGTCTCAGGAGACAGGGTCCCACCTGGTGTACGTCCACTGCACCCTGGGGTCGTCATGGTGGCCCCAGGGCCGGTGGAGGTGGTCCTGGACTTGATGGCTCCTCCCTGTGGCCCTGGGCTGCATGAGGTGATGCCCATTCTGGCCACATGTAAGGGGCTCAAAGAGACACCTGCTGGCCTCTGAGAACTCTGCCAGCATCCATGCGGCTGCTCAAGGTGGCATCTGGTTAGGGCCAGTGCTGTCTGTGGCCGGCAGTTACTGGTTAACTCATCCTGTTCCTGTTTAACTTGTTCCCTGGGGATGGCGGCAGCCTCTGACCCGTCCAGGTGCCCTGTCCAGCTGACTGCAAGGACAGAGAGGAGTCCTGCCCAGCTCTTGGATCAGTCTGCTCGGCTGAGGAGCCCGGTGGAGCCGGGGGGGACCCTGGAGCCCAGCCTGCCCCGAGGAGGCCCTGGCTCAGCACCATGCCAGGTAGGCAGGTCAGAGAGGGATGGGCTTGAGTTCCCACTCCCACCTCCTGCCCCTCAGGCTAGCTTCACGTTGTGCATCCTTCTCTTGTCCCAGGCGCTCTGCCTGGCCACATGCCGGGGGTACAAAGGCCCCTGCTCACCCCTCCCTCTGGGCCCTTGGCCCTGAAACCAGGGCGAGTGGTGAGGATGAGCCCTGTACCCTCTCCTGCCTCAGACCAGGCTCATGAGGTCAGTAAAGCCCAGGAATACTAGGAGTGGGCACTGCTGGGGCCCACAACAGGGGTGTGGCAGATGTGAGCTGGTAGGAGACCATACCCCACTGAGAAGATGGCAGTCTCACTCCCGCTAGGGCTCATCACCCTGTTGTAAAGATGAACAAGTTCAGGCCTCAGGTGGTGAGGAGGGCTTGCCTGTGGCCAGGAGCAGAGGGCCCCAAGACCCCTGAGGCAAGAATGAGGCCAGCTGCTCCAGGCTCCCAGCTCTGCCCATCCAGGTGGAAGGTGCTGGCACACTGGGCATCTGGGTCCCCAAACCCACTGGCGCCTACACTGTCTACAGATCCCCCAGCAGAGGCAGGCCAGGCTGAGGGGCGCAGTGCCTGGCCCCTCCTCTGAGACAGGCCTCACGGTGTCACCAGGGGTGGGCAACAGGTGCATCTGGGAAATGGGGGCTGGACTCACGTCCTGGGTGGACAAGCAGCCAGATGGGGCTTGAGTGTGGGCCTGAGGCAGCTCAACTGTGACTGGCCACTGCTCTCTGCCCCCTCAGCACAGGGTGGGTGGAACACACAAAGCCTGGCCACTACTGGGGGAAGACGTGCCAAGTGCTAAGCCTGTCCTCATGGGACTCATGGGCAGACATGGTGTGACTGCCAAGCCACACAGAGGCCTTATTTCTTCCTGCACCACGGACCACTGTGGACGTGGCAGGGCCAGGCACCCTGGCACAGCTGACCCACTGTGTCCTCTCTCTTCAGGTGTCTGTGATAAGGCCCCTGACTTCCTCTCCCCGTCTGAAGACCAGGTGCTGAGGCCTGCCTTGGGCAGCTCAGTGGCTCTGAACTGCACAGCTTGGGTAGTCTCTGGGCCCCACTGCTCCCTGCCTTCAGTCCAGTGGCTGAAAGATGGGCTTCCATTGGGAAATGGGGACCACTACAGCCTCCACGAGTACTCCTGGTAAGAGACCTGGGTATCCAGGGTCAGAGTGACCTCTCAGACATGCCAAGGGCAGTGGTCTCCCTGACCAACGCCTGGGTCTGTAACCACCTGGCCAGACATGACATGAGCAGAGTGCCTCTGTGGACCCAGATGGAGGGTCAGTGATGTCAGGGACAGACCCTCGGGTCCGCATGGCCCCTGTAGACACACACTTTGTAACTGCCCAGGGCTATGGGTGTCAGCAAAGTCTAGGGCCTGAATGAACGCTGACCATCTGGCCAAGCCTGTGATCAGAGGACCTCCAGGCCCCAGACCCAGGACTGGGACGGCTGTTCTGAAACAAATCTGCACCCCCTCCAGGTTCAGGTCATTTCTCTTGGCTTAAGGCCCAAGAACCACCCAGGAGGCCCAATTCTGCAGCCTCCCTGGGCGAACCCAGACAGGTGGGGTTCTGGGGTGTCCACTGGTATCCACGGCCGACCCTGACCCTGGCTTGGTATCCCCAGGGACAAGGCCAACTTGTCAGAGGTGCTTGTGTCCAGCGTCCTGGGGATCAATGTGACCAGCGCTGAGGTCTACGGGGCCTTTGCCTGCTCCATCCAGAACGTCAGCTCCTCCTCCTTCACTCTTCAGAGAGCTGGTGATGGGGGTTCCCCAGGTGGAGGGTAGGAGGGGACCTAGACCTAGTGAGGCCCAGGGACCTTGAGGCTTGGGGGCTGCTGGAGGGGCAGCGGCTCAGGCAGCCCATCGGCAGGCCCTACAAGCCACGTGGCTGCAGTGCTGGCCTCCCTCCTGGTCCTGCTGACCCTGCTGCTGGCTGCCCTGCTCTATGTCAAGTGCCGTCTCAACGTGCTGCTCTGGTACCAGGACGCGTATGGGGAGGTGGAGATGAACGGTGCGTGGGGCCCGCGTGGACACGAGGAGGGGTCGCCACGGCCTCCCTGAGATTGCGCTGCTGAGCTCAGCTTTGGAGGCGTGGGGCGGGGAGGAGTTAGCCCCAGGGGGCTCTGTGCGGGCCCGGCTGGGGTTAAAGTCCGGGGCGGGTCTGCCTCTGTGCACGTGGGAGATGGTTAGGGGTGTTGGGGACCCCCAGGGCTGGAGTAACGCCTCAGGAGCCACCGGGATGACTGGCCGCCATCCGCAGACGGGAAGCTCTACGACGCCTACGTCTCCTACAGCGACTGCCCAGAGGACCGCAAGTTCGTGAACTTCATCCTGAAGCCGCAGCTGGAGCGGCGTCGGGGATACAAGCTCTTCCTGGACGACCGCGACCTCCTGCCGCGCGCTGGTATCCCGGGCCCCGCCCACCCGGAGGGCCCGCCCCACCGGGCCCTGCCCCAGAGGTCCCGCCCCCACAATCGGGCCCCGCCCCCAGAGGCCCCGCCCCACCACCGTCCCACCGGAGCCCCGCCCCCACCACCGAGCTCCGCCCCATTCACCGCCCACCCCGAGCCCCGCCTCCACCACGAGCTCCGCCCCACCGATCAGGGCCCCGCCCCCGCCCCGTGCCCCCGCCACTGTGCCCCCGCCCCTGCGCCCCCGCCCCGCACCTCCGACGCCCGCCCTCCCGCAGAGCCCTCCGCCGACCTCCTGGTGAACCTGAGCCGCTGCCGCCGCCTCATCGTGGTGCTTTCCGACGCCTTCCTGAGCCGGGCCTGGTGCAGCCACAGCTTCCGGTGGGTCCCGCGCGGGGTTGGGTGGGACCCAGCTTAGCACCCACCCCCCTGACGGTCCCGCCCCGCAGGGAGGGCCTGTGCCGGCTGCTGGAGCTCACCCGCAGACCCATCTTCATCACCTTCGAGGGCCAGAGGCGCGACCCCGCGCACCCGGCGCTCCGCCTGCTGCGCCAGCACCGCCACCTGGTGACCTTGCTGCTCTGGAGGCCCGGCTCCGTGGTGCGGAGCAGGCGTGGGGGGCCGGGGCGAGCGGCGGTTTGGAGATGGGCTGTGCCCGGGCTCCAGGCGGGGACCCCTCCGTGGGGAGCTCTGCGGCACCACGCTTTCTGAATGGGCCCTGGGGGGAGGTTCCGCTGCCTGGGACCCCGATGCGGGGAGCGGCCCTTGAGGGCCCCGGAGCCACGGAATAGCTGTTGCAGGACGTGGAACCCACGGGCAGCCGCAGGTGTGCCCTTGGGGGCCAGAACGCCAGGGGCTTCCGAGGTGTTCACACCTGCGAACCGCCCCAACCTGGCCCCCAGACTCCTTCCTCCGAGTTTTGGAAAGAACTACAGCTGGCGCTGCCGCGGAAGGTGCATTACAGGCCGGTGGAAGGAGACCCCCAGACGCAGCTCCAGGACGACAAGGACCCCATGCTGATTCTTCGAGGCCGAGTCCCGGAGGGCCGGGCCCTGGACTCAGAGGTGGACCCGGACCCTGAGGGAGACCTGGGTATGCCCGCCCAGCCCCACTTTCCGACTGGAGAAGCGCAGCACGGGGCGGAGTGGGGAGAGGCACAGGGCAGAGGGCCTGGAGGGGGCCCCAGGTGGTGAGGACTGTTCCTGGCACGGACAGCCCCTGCACCGCCTCTCTGCCCGGGAGGTGCTTGGCCCTCGGTCTACCTGGGAACTTCCTGGGCCTCACAAGCCATCACAGCAGGGGGCGAGCAGGGGCAGCCCCTGGCAGTGGGTCTGGGCCAAGGCTGTGGGTGGCCACCTCAGGCGTATCGGTCTCCCCATCCCAGGTGTCCGGGGGCCTGTCTTTGGAGAGCCATCAGCTCCACCGCACACGAGTGGGGTCTCGCTGGGGGAGGGCCGGAGCAGTGAAGTGGACGTCTCGGACCTTGGCTCGCGAAACTACAGTGCCCGCACAGACTTCTACTGCCTGGTGTCCAAGGATGATATGTAGCTCCCACCCCAGAGTGCAGGATCACAGGGACAGCGGGGGCCAGGGCTGGGGGATCGCTCCTCTGCTCAGCAGGACCACACCCCCTGCCAGCAGCCCTGGGACCCTGGGGGAAAAGGCTGTGGCCTCAGGGGTGCCTCCCAGTGCCAGAAAATAAAGTCCTTTTGGATTCTGCCTGGGCCTCAGTCTCCTCCCATGCGGCAGAAGGTTTCGGTTCGGCTCCCCTCTGTGGCTCTCTCAGCCCTCCACCCCTCCCTCTCTCATCCCCACCCCACAAATCACCAAATCTGCCCTCTCTCCATCCCCCTTCCTAAGCCAGCTCAGGCATGTCCCGTGCTCACAGTAGCCTCCTTGGGCCTCCCTGCCTGGTGACGTGACTGTTCCTAGACCCCTCCCATGCAGGCAGATTCTGGACGGAGCAGGCCCCTTAGAGACCTCAAGTTCTGAGCGTCACAGAAGATTTCTGTTTTAAAAATATCCACAGTGACTTCACAAATAAATGGCCTGGCACTGGGTGAGATGGATGGAGGTGTCCGAGAGCCTACTCGCCCCCAGACCTCAGGCAGCCAGTGTGAGAGCCCCTGGTCCAGGCAACTCCGGGCCCAAGGCGGGCGGAGAGGGAGCTGGGTTCTTTTACTGAATGAGTATAGCCCACGAGGCAGCCCCCCTCTTCCCACTCCGGTCACCCTCTGCTCTTGAGGCCCCCAGCTCTGCTCCATCTGTGTCTGTGGTGCACCTGCTGCCCACCCTGTCCCCTCTCGGCCCTGAGGTGTCAGCTGTCCCTCTGCTGGGCTCTCCGTGTCCTGCATCTTCTGACCTTGGGAGGCTTGTGTGTGAGCCCAGGGGGTGGGTGTCCTCAGGAGCAGGGGGGTGCCTGGGGACACCTCACGTCCCAGGATCATGCTGCCAGCCACAGAGTCAGGCCAGCCATGGAAGGACACAGGGCAGTGACTGTTCATGGCCATCTTTATTCCCAGTGCTGGCTATCCCAAGATACTGCCAGGCTACGGCCAGCCCCACCTCTGCCAATGTGACTGGATCACCACCCCATACCCCAGAGCAGCCTCGAGCCCTGCCCCACCCCTGCCCTGCGGAAGCCAAGTCCCCAGCTATAAGCCCCTGCCCCTCCTGGTGGCCCAGGACTCTCCAAGGTGCACACAGGGGTCCTAGCGAGGGGCCCCTCGGTCATCAGCCTTCTCCTCCAGGCTGGGCCGCCCAGCAGCCCGGAGCTGAGTCTGTCCCTTGGACGCTGGGCCACGTCACCTTCTCCTCCTCCAGGAGGCTTCACCTATGGGCCCAGGAAGTCCTCCTTCCGATAGCCCTTCTACAGTGGAGAGAGGCCCAAGGTCAGGGTGCATGTCTGCCCGTGCAGCCCTCTGCCCTCTCTGTCCCTCCTGCAGTGTGCGGGGTGTGGCCCGGACCCTTCCCCTCTGGGTCCCTGGTCTCCATTCTCCCATTGGCCTCTTCACTGTCTGCTCCACATGGGTTTCCGTGACCCTCCCCCGGCATCCCATGCCCTGCACTGGGTCCCGGCTCGCTCTGGGCTCGGGAGACGTACCGCCCGGAAGTCACGGTGGAGCTTGTTGTACTGCCACAGGTTGGCCAGGAGGCTGGACGCTGCCCGGGAAGACTTCTCACTGTCGGGGCTGAGGGTGGAGGGGAGTCAGGAGGGGACACACAGCCAGGAAGCAGGGTGGGCTGGGAGGACCCCTGGCCAGGCTGCTGAATGCCTGGGTCGGCCCCTACCTGTCCCGCTTCTTCTTGATGAAGATGAGCTTTCGGAGCCCATCAAAGTACAGCAGGTCTCGGGCGGCAATGGGGCTGGCCACCACCAGGTTGTTGAGCACAGCTATGATGTTGACCAGCACCTCGGCTGGGGGCGATTTCTCACCCACGCTGCCCGGCAGCTTCTCGATCAGGTGGCTCACCACCTTCGTGGCTGTGGGAGGCCGGGGGTCAGTCTACACCCCTACTCCCGGCCACCTGGGCACCTGGGGTCCCCTGCCTCCCTCAGGGAGCTGGACTGACTCCAGCGGCCTGAAGCCCACATGTAAAGACAAAATTGATGTGTGGGCCCAGCAGGGTGGGGACGAGGGTCTGCCTGACTCACACATCTCGTCCTTGTTCCTAGCATTCCGAGACAGGTTTCGGATGAGGCCGGTCAGTGAGCGCAGCTGGTGGTGGTCTGCGGTCCGGACACGGTCTAGCAGGGGGTTCAGGATACGCTCCTGCTCCAGGGCCAGGCGGCTCAGCACCCCCGCCCACTGTGGGGAGGGAGGGTGTGAGCCGTGACCGGAGGCCTCAGACCCTCACCTGGGGGGGTCCTGCGACAACCGGGTCGCTGCATCCTCCTGCCACCCTCAGGGGGGCCTCTGCTTCCGCCTTTGCCCCCCAGTTGGGGACATCATCCGCAGCCTGGATCAGGTGCCTCCCTTCAAACCCAGGGCAGAACTTCCAGTCCTCCCAGGGCCCAAGGCCTGCCCCACTGGGACACTGACCTCGGAGGTTCCGCGGGCCCCCTGCGTCCCCTACCTCCTCCCCTCCCTCTTTCCCCTGCCCTCCCCGCCACAGCATGAACCCCTGGGAGCCCCTCGGGTCTGGGTTGGGTGCCCCACCCTGCGGTCGCCTGCCGTGATGTTCTGCAGCGCCCCGGCGGCGGCCTCTGTCGTGTGCCGGTTGAGCTCGCAGCGCTGCAGCAGCCGGTTGTACAGCCCCACGATCTGGGGGCTCCACAGCCACTCGAGGCCCTTGGGGTCCTTGGACACCTCTGCGAAGGTGAGCGCATCGGCGGCGAGGGGCAGCTGCGCCGGAGCGGGGGGAGTCAGCGGGGCGGGGTGAACGGGGCCGGGGTGAGCCGGGCCGGGGTCAGCGGTAGGCCAGGGTCAGTGGGGCGGGGTGAGCGGGGCCGGGGTGAGCGGGGCTGGAGTCAGGGGGCGGGGTGAGCGGGGCAAGGTGAGCGGGGCTGGAGTGAGCAGGGCCGGGGTGAGCGGGGCGGGGTCAGTGGGGCCGGGGTCGCAGCACACCCCCACGCCCCGCCCAGGCTGGTGCCCACCTCGCGCAGCCTCCGGCTCTGCGGCGTGAAGCAGCCCACCACCTCTCCCGGCGGCGCCCCAGCCAGGTCCCTGCGGCCGCGACCCTCCAGCCGCTGCAGCGCGGACGGCGGCATCTCGTCGTACAGGCGGTAGGACAGGTTCCGCAGCACGCACACCGCGTTCTCCACGCTCTGCGGGCAGGGGCGCGGGTCAGGGCGGCGGCCCGGGGTGCACGGCCCCCCCCCCCCCGCACCGCGCCCCTCACCTTGTCCTCGCATTTGCCCACGTCCAGAGCGTGGTTGATGTAGGTGACCAGGGCGTCCACCAGCCCGTGGCACTCCCGCATCTTCTGGCGAGTGGCCTGAGAGGCTGAGCTGAGGTTCCTGGGGACCGAGGCGGATCAGAGCCCCCCAGGGACCCCCCATCCCAGGCCCCGTCCCATCCCATCCTGGGCCCTCGCACGCCCATCCCCCAGTGCGGGGCGTGCGGTGTGTGGGGCTGTGAACGCCAGGCCAGGCGGAGTCCCTACAATGAACCTGCCCGCAGTCCCCACCCCACTGCCTCACTGCCCGAGGCTGGCGCACCTGAGGAAGCCCGTGGCATTGTAGAAAATCTCCGCCTCCGAGGCGTTCTGCTGGATGAGGGGGGGACCCCCAGCCCCGGACAGGGGGCTCAACACCAGGTCAGTGAGCTGCTCCAGCGTGTCTCTGGCCAGGCGGTCCTTCAGGTGGTCACTGGATGAGAGGTTCCACAGGATCCCTGGACCACGGGGGAGGCTGCTCTCAGAGTCTGCCCTCCAACCCCCTCCACTTTTCTGGGCATGGAGTGAGGAGGTCCTGCCTCTCCCCAGGGGCTGGCCTGGTATTCTGTGCCTCACCCACAAGCCCTGCTGGGGAGACCCTGGGGTGGCATTTGGGGTGATAGAGCTGGGACCAAGCAAAAGGGGACAAAATGTGGGGTGTGGTGAGCAGGCTTGGTGCGGGAGGTGGCTCCAAGGAGACAAAGCCACAGGACAGAGTGGCCAGGGGTCCAGGAAAGAGGCGGGCAGGGGAGGCCCAAGTAGAAACATGGCCAGCAAAAGGGACAAAGGGACAGAAGGGAACCAAATGGGGTGGAGGGATCAGAACAGAGGAGAGAGGACAGGCAGAGGAGGGACAGGAGGAGGGGGACAGGCAGAAAAGGGGGACAGGTGGAGGAGGGGGAACAGGTGGGAGGATAGGCAGAGGGGGCAGGTGGAGGAGGGGGACCAGGTTGGGGGGACACAGAGGGAGAACAGGAGGAGTAGGGGACAGGCAGAGGGGGTAGGTGGAGGAGGAAGGACATGGGGGGAGCGGGGGACAGGTGGAGGGGGAAGGCAGAGGGGGGACAGGTGGAGGGGGCAGGGGGAGGGGGAAGGCAGAGGGGGGACAGGTGGAGGGGGGCAGGTGGAGGGGGGCAGGTGGAGGAGGGGGTAGATGGGGGCAGGGGGAGGGGGTAGGGGGAGGGGGGAAGGCAGAGGGGGGACAGGTGGAGGGGGGAAGGCAGAGGGGGGACAGGTGGAGGAGGGGTAGATGGAGGAAGGACAGGTGGAGGAGGGGTAGATGGAGGAAGGACAGGTGGAGGAGGGGGTAGATGGAGGACAGGTGGAGGGGGGACATGTGGAGGGGGGCAGGTGGAGGAGAGGGTAGATGGAGGACAGGTGGAGGGGGGACAGGTGGAGGAGGGGTAGATGGAGGAAGGGCAGGTGGAGGAGGGGGTAGATGGAGGAAGGACAGGTGGAGGAGGGGGTAGATGGAGGACAGGTGGAGGGGGACAGGTGGAGGAGGGGGTAGATGGGGGACAGGTGGAGGGGCGGGGGGGAGGGGGGAAGGCAGAGGGGGGGCAGGTGGAGGAAGGACAGGTGGAGGAAGGACAGGTGGAGGAAGGGCAGGTGGAGGAAGGGCAGGTGGAGGAGGGGGGTAGATGGAGGAGGGGGTAGATGGAGGACAGGTGGAGGGGGACAGGAGGAGGGGTAGATGGAGGACAGGTGGAGGGGGCAGGTGGAGGAGGGGTAGATGGAGGACAGGTGGAGGAAGGGCAGGTGGAGGAGGGGGTAGATGGAGGAAGGACAGGTGGAGGAGGGGGGACAGGTGGAGGAGGGGGACAGGTGGAGGGGGGAAGGCA